TGAGCCAGCTCAACTAGAAACTGTGGACAGCTGTTTCGGCCTGTATTGGGCCTCGTCAGCACAGTGTATCTAGTGAGCTGGCAATCCCACGAAAACGTAGTACTAAATACAGTAGATGTGGCAGTGCGCCGTGTGGGATGGGCTCGGATATCAAATAAGAACATGCGTAATAAGTAAATTACGAGCCTTAGATGAAACGACTGAAGAAAGAGTGCCATACAAGCCTTTCACAACTTCAAGTCGCGTAAAAAATGAGCCAGCTCAACTAGAAACTGTGGACAGCTGTTTCGGCCTGTATTGGGCCTCGTCAGCACAGTGTATCTAGTGAGCTGTCCACAGTTTGTAGTTGAGCTGGCTCATTTTTTACGCGACTTGAAGTTGTGAAAGGCTTGTATGGCACTCTTTCTTCAGTCGTTTCATCTAAGGCTCGTAATTTACTTATTACGCATGTTCTTATTTGATATCCGAGCCCATCCCACACGGCGCACTGCCACATCTATCCTGTATAATATTATTTGTTTGGGCAACCATGACAAGATGCAACCAATCAAACAAAGATGAAGTCAGCACCAAACACTGCACTTCGTTCAGGCAGATGAACACTATATTATGGATGAATGAACCCTGACTCCGGCAAGTTTGGTTCTGTGAACTGAACTATTGGACAACTTCACCACAATTTGTAAATTATTTAGAAAAAAAATAGCAAGAGACTTTCTTTCATCTGCTCATTTCAGTATTATAAAATATCTGAACAGAAATATAATGCAAGTGAGAGTGCTTATTGGATGGCTACAGTGGTTTTATCAGAGGTCTGAGTCACTGATGCCAAATTGCTCAAAAATGTTTTATGAAAGCAATATAAAATGGTCGCTTGGACCATCTAAACAGGTCTTTTAAGAATTAAAATTCATTCTGTATTTTCTTCTTCAGATATCTGGGCCATAGGCTGCATATTTGCTGAGCTCTTGACCTGTGAGCCAATATTTCATTGTCGTCAAGAGGACATCAAAACAAGTAATCCATATCACCACGATCAGTTGGACCGCATCTTCGGTGTCATGGGATACCCACAAGGTACTTTAATAGTAGTATTCCTTCGTTTGTTCTATTTCTGGCCAAATACATCTAGGAAACTTTAAATCTTTGGAAAAAACTTCTAAACTTTTGGAAAACCTCCAGTAAGAAGGCTTAAGTTAAAGTATTGGCTGGTCTGTCACTGGTCATGACGCCCCCTTGTCATGATGCCCCCAGCCATGATGCCCCCACATATACCATGACACCCCCAGTGTGTACTACCATGATGCCCCCAGCATAAACCATGACGCCAAAATTAGTTTAGCTTGGTCATACCTTATATCACTTTTTCTATTTTGAGCCATCCTGGTACCTTATGCATTAGACAAAACAATAACTTTATTTTCTTCCTGGTTGCTCTTAAACAGAAAAAGATTGGGAAGACATCAAGAAGATGCCAGAACATTCAACATTACTAAAAGACTTTAGAAAATCAAAGTAAGTTATAAAGACCATTCTTATCATAGTGGTATTTTCCTCATTTTTAGATGTTTTTTTTAAAAAAAATTGTTGTAAAAAAATCAAATCACACACATATTGTGAAGTCCCAAAATTATCCATACCCCCCCCCCCACCACGGAGGAATTTTTTAAAGACAATCCCCCCCCTGCCCCCGGAAATTCCAATTTTCTTCCATACAAACTCTGTAATTTTTGTTCTTTCTCTGACCCCCCTACTCTTTGGAAATCCCAAATTCCTCTGTGGGGTGGGTGTGGATAATTTCTGGAACTATACATTTCCATTAACTGTCCCCCTAGAGATCATATATGACTTCTTAAAATGTTCGAAACTTTACTGTGCTGAGCTCATACCTCCACTTGAGGATGTCATTATTTAAGATCAATAAAAGGAGAGTCAATGGAAATCAATAACCATTTTGTTAAAATATTTTTAAATGTTGAAATTAAAAGCTATGCAAGTGCAAGCCTTTGGAAGTACATGGAAAAGCATAAAGTAAAACAAGACAGCAAGGCTTTTCAATTAGTAAGTTCTTAGGAATAATTGCAGAGTCACTTTTGGGGTTTGGATTAGGGTTTCAGGGATGTTCTAATCAATAATAAATGATTAATAATCAAATAATGCTATTTCATGTAGTCGGGGGGGGGGGGGGGGGGGGAGGGGGGGTACTCTTGCCCGTTTAAGGTAGGGATGTGCCGTTGAACCCACTGAACCCTGACCCTGCTCGAGAGTAAAATCGCTGAAATTCATACCCTGTTCCAGGGCAAGATTGCTGAAAATCATACAGTACCTGTTCTGGTAATGCGAAAAGATACCCTGTTCCAGAAAGGAGAGAGCGTGATTTCATATACCCTGTCCCAAAGCGAGCGCGATTTTATAAACCCTATTCCAGAGTAGAATCGCTGAAAACTATACCCTGTTTGGCGGCACGTACCCATACAGCAAATAGAGGGGAATACCCCCTGGGTCTTACATGAAATACAAACCCAGATCTGTGGTCTTGAATTATAATTTTTCCCAAAAATTTCAAGTCAGAGTAAACCAATTTTTGACTAGAATCTCTCTCTATTGTTTTCAGTTATCTAGGTTATTAGTAATGGACCCAAATAAGAGAATCACTTCAGAACAAGCCTTACAGGACCCTTACTTCAAAGAAGATCCTTTACCAACCCAAGAGTGAGTAACTTGAGTAACAAGATCTTGAGTACAATTCGGAATAGGCCCTTTGCAGCTCAGTAATCACGTGCTGATTAATTCACTGAGAGCAAATGAATGAACATCTTGATTCCCATGGGTGAAATATACTGGAGAGCAAACAAACTTTCTACAACCTGTTTCGAGAGATCGTAATAGAACTGCATTTCGTAACACACTGGTTACACATTGTTTCATTCAGTTCTTTACAAGTAGCTAAAAAGAATCACCAATTTAAAATAAGAACAAAAAATTTGCTCTTCAGTACAAACATGTGACCATTAACGGGCCTATTGATAGGCATAAGTGATTTTTTGAAAGTTTCAAAATTGGATGAGCCTTTCAGCAAGTCACACTGTAAAACTCAGCTAAAATTTGTCATTCATTAAATAAATTTGCGAAAAGTGATGCCTACACTTCACCCCCCCCCCTCCCCCCTGTACGTTTCCTTTCTTGTATTGGAATTGAAGTGCCTTAAACACATTTCTTTGTTCTAGTTGCTTTGTCGGAAGTCCAATTCCTTATCCAAAGAGAGAGTTTCTCAATGATGATGACAACGACAGTAAATCCAATGCTTCTAAGGTAAGCATACTGTTAATAGTAAGACGAGTTGATATATTCAAACCAGTGGTTGGGTTAAACTTCCAAGATTGTGATTCCAGGATTTTCCACTGTAGGGGCCACTTCACGCTTATCTGACCTCAGCAAAATATGTTTCAGGGTTAGATCTGTGAGTTAGCCTTGCCCTGACTTAGATCAGCCCAGAGGTTGTTTCAGGGTTAGATCTGTAAGTTAGCCGTGCCCTGACTTAGATCAGCCCAGAGGTTGTTTCAG